ACGGAGGCGTCGAGTGCGCACTCGGGAGGAGGCATCGGCATCTTTTCATGAATACATCAAAAGCTCCTGCAGGGGTGGAAGATGGACCGCCGGGTGGCGGGCGATCTCCAAATGACCTCTTTTCACAACACAGCATGCGTCGGGACAAATGTTCACTTATACGTGGCCTTGGCAAGCTCGCATGTGTGTGTGTGTGTGTGTGTGTGTGTGTGTGTGTGTGTGTGTGTGGGCGTGCGTCGAGTAATGCCCGCACAAATACAACAGCACATCAATCACAAGGCAAAAAAGGCCCATCAGTGCGTGTGTGTGCAATGACGTCAATCTGCTGAAAGGGGGTTGAGACAAAAGGGGGCGGGGGGAACCGTTAGCCGCACCTTTGGGTCGGCACCATGTGAACGTCCTTCGTCCCCCACCCCTCTCACACAGGAAATATTTCACCGTGACGACCCGGTCGCCGCGGCGACACTTTACGAGGGGCGGGATGCGGAGTCTAGGGGTCACCGTGTGGAAAAAAGTGACGATGATGATGATGATGAAGGCAGACCTGTTGGTAACTAATGTCTTTTCCCACAAGAACCCAGATGGAGGCGGGATTGGGAACAAAAATTGTCCAGAGGTATGAATCAGAATGTTCATTTTTCCGGATCCTTCAATCAACCTAAAATGATTAGTTTTGAAATGGATATGCATGTCCATAGGCTTGAACGCCAATGTGTGTTTGTCTATATGCACCCTGCGATTGGCTGGCAAGCAGTCCAGGGTGTGACTCCGCCCCTTGGAGAAGAAGATGGATGGATCTACCGTCTGTGCAATTATGTCCAGGTGACTTCCCATCAAAGCATCAATCCTACCTCAACAATCCCAATCACCACTTCCAGACCTTCAGTTTGCGAGTGTGCGTGAGAGAGAGACTCAGTCACCACGGCGACTCCGGCGCCAAGCATGCGTGACATCACGCCATCGAATCACAATAAAAGGCCAACCCGGGACCTTGGTCTTCAGATGCGTCCCGACTGGGAGGGGACGAACTTATTTCGCTCCGACAGGACTTTCAATCAATTACCTATCGACGACCGACACAAGCACTGTCGGGATTTTGGGACACGGCATTGAAACGACGAGTGGCAGGCTCCAGCCAATCACAGCACAGCGTGACTAACCTGAAAATGGACACCTCGGGCGCCTCCTTCCTCTCGTTCCTGGTCCTCATCTTCATCCTGACCCTCGCCGCCGAGTCCCGGCCGGCGCCTCGGAGCCACGATGCCAAGGTCGGTCTAGGTCCATTTGCTTTTCCATCTCCTACCGATAGATATTGTTAATCTTCAAGTCATGACATCATCATCTTCATGCGGGGCGCGCATGTGACCCCAGGGAACATGTTTTATTCGTATCAGAATAAAATATAATTGCACATCGTCGCTCTCATTGTCTGTCAGATTGCGCAAGGTGCATTAGTGTCTCTGCTGAGGTGTACTTATCACAATACAATGGTCAAATTCTATCATTTATTGTTGCTGGGAGTGGAGAGTTGGGGTGGGGGAAAATATTTTATGATTCCCGGGAGCGGGGGAGCATAAGAAAGAATATATGATAAACAAAATTTTGCCTCGCGGAGAGACGAGAAGCAAGCACGCTGAAATAGCATCTGAAGGCAAGTGGGACCTCCTTAACTAAGAAAACTGCAAGTACTGTGGCGCCTTAATAGACTTAAGGCGCCACCTTGGGCCCACTTAAGTTTGCCAACAAACATCTAAATGACTTGAAGACTGTTGCTGTGGTCAGATGAAACCCAAGTGATGCATTTGGCATCAACCACGCCTGCGGTGTTTGGAGGATGAGAAAATGCATGCCGAAGAACTCCATCCTCACAATCCAGCTTGGAGGCGGACTCGGAGGCTTGCGCTGTCCAAACCTCCTTGAAGATGGGTCACGGATGGGTTTTACAGCATGACAGTGACCCTGTCAAAGCAACAAAGGAGTAGCTCACTAAGACACGCAGTGTCCTAGTCAGTATCCAGACCTCAAACCAAGTGAAAACATCTGCTGAACCTTCCAGCTTTTTTTTTTAAACACATTTTTTGCCTGATATTCAATAAAAATCACGCTGTCATAAAAAACAAAAACAATCAATGCTATAATTCATTCCAAGTAAGCAAATTGACTAAATCTGGTACTCACTTGTGTCTTCAGGCCATGACTGCCCTGTTTGGATCACGGCTCTCCTCCCTCCTCATGGCGCCACCATCCCCGTCCGAGGGGTCAGCAGTAGGTCCGGCAGCACCCCGGAAGCGGGAGGATGAGGAAGCGGAGGGGACGGCGGGAGGGTCACGCTTCCTTGTGGACTCCCTACGGCGGTACGCCAAGGTGAGGCGGCGCGGCGGGAAGTGGACGTCGCTTGGAGGACGAGGATGCTTCGGCTTGAAGATGGATCGCATCGGCGCCGTCAGCGGACTTGGATGCTAAACTCTGACATGCTACCTCTGACCCCTGGCAAAGGCTGCTAGACGACTGTGTGTGTGTGTGCGCGTGTGTAACAAGACAAGCATGTGTTAAACATGTGCATTTGCGTGTTGACAAGTTGTACCATGACAATATTCCATCACTGAATGTATGTGTGCGAACCCGAATTAAAGAGAAAGTTAATTTGTTGTTTGTTCATTCAATTTATCCAGCCATCTATCCATTTTCAAGAGCTCCTTTTCTTTCCCTGGCCTTGAGACCTGGGTCAATTTTGATGATGCCATTTATCCATTTTTTTTTTTCAAATATGTCCTCATTAGGGTAAATTTCCACCTCCAAGAAACCAGTGCATACCAGTGTTGAAAAACAACCTCCACTATCTCCAACCTTGTCACATAGTTTAACCCATGAGTCCAATTTGCTGAAGCAATCCACTCATTTTCTTCAATGCTTGTCCTCAAAGTAAATTAAAACTTGGAATACCAGTTTTGGAAGTCAGCTTCTATTACATACCCCTCTGGAAATATGGTGTAACCCATACATGGGCCACTGTGCTCAAATATTGAAGCCTGACATATTTTTGCCATGAGCATTAACTTACCCAGAGATGGGTCATACCATATATTTACTCAGTTACATTTACATAAGTGTTTTGGAGGGATGAATTACACTGGTCAACAGTAAATTTTAATCAAATATTTTTGTTCAGTTTTCAGTTTTTTTTTTATAGGTATTTTCATTATTTGTTTTTGAACTTTAAAAGCTCACACCACACACCATGCGCTGTAATAAAAACATTCCACCCGTTGCCGAACTTAACCAATAATTCATCTATATTACATACTATATTATTATTATTACTGTCGTATCATGAAAAAATGATGCTCGTTCGCAAAAATGAGGGTATATTCACGAGCAACACCAAAAAAAAAAA